TATACAGAGCTTTACAAAGATTTACTGACTGCGTAAATTCAGATCCCGTAACTTGAAAACGCGTATAAAAAATACCGTAAATAGTGTTATAATTTACCGTGTAAAAAAAGAGACTCGCGTAAAAAAGTGCCGCGTAAATTGAGGGTCGGGTGTAATGTAGTACGAATTGTACAGAGATGACGACGTCTTTAACATTCGGACGCCGGGATAAATATATTCCATACCTCGTTTACAATCTCTGCGCGGACGACAACCCCTCGCAATGTTATTCACCATCGTTTGTATGAAACAGCTCTCACTGTTTACTCGATCGATCCATATTTCACGCGAGGGGTCATCCCGCGCGTTTCACGGGCACGGCTCCAGCAATTAGTTTTTGAGTAACGAGGAACACGGATCAAGCAGGGCACAGTGCAAAGGGACATAACTCCTGGAGGCGTCTGCCAGAAACGCCTAATTATCATATTCTCCATGGGCGGTCGGGTTTTCCTGGGACGAAAAGGAGACTGTAATTAGCGGGATTTTCTCACGGAAACGTGACTTCAAGGGTGTATTTCCAATCGCAGCTGTCGATTTTAGATGATTTATGAATAAACTCTGGATTTTTTTTTTTTAGGCATTTATGACTAGACAATGGATTTTATGAATTTATAGCATAAATGAGTAGACCAAATGCAAAACCTCGAATACATTTAAAGAATTTGGAAAGACTTACGCAGACGCTGTTAACAGTTTCACAGACCCCTAATGTTTATTGCATTATTATTGACATAAAAGTTGCAATAAAAAAAATCAAAACGAATTGTTCGTCCTTTGCACATGACCAATGAAGTGATACAAGTTCGATTAAATAGATGCATCTGTACTAAAAACGTTCCTTTCTTTAATTTCTTTAATTTAATAATTTTTAATTCAATAATAAAATATTAATAATTTTTTTTTATAATTATGTTATTATCACAGTTCGACCTCTTTTTTGTTCGGACTTTCTTTAGGAGATCACGTGGGTTCAGATTCAGGGAAACATAAATGTATTTTTCTGTTACTGTGCGTTGGGCCTCTTTCACACGGCAATTTGCGAATCGCGATTTGCATTTGGTCAGTTATTACTTCTGGGTGTCTTTGAGAATGATTCGCCTTGAATCTTTCAGCAATTAACGGTGACGGACCCGAGAAATTCCGCCCTTCCCAGAAGTTGACGCGTAAAGGACGTGTCGTTGCTCGGCTCGGGGGTGTTCAGCCAGTCGTTCTGAAAGCGAGGGAATTCTGCGAGCGGCTCTTTGAACCTGATTCCCTCCCTGATTGCAGGTATCTGTGTCCCTGGATACGTTTAAACGCCGCGCCAAACGGGGATGTAAATGGACCTCGCCTCACGCCGTGATGGATAAAAATAATATACACACAAATATGTCTTCAAAAAATGTGTATACCAAGATAAAAAAATTTTCGAACAGAAAATCAGTTATTTCATAAACAACATCTGTGGATTGTCCGAAAGTTGAGGATTTAATGGGGTGGACTACTTTGACGGTTCAATAAAACTGTTGATTTATAACATTTATTTGTGAAAGTCAAACATAATTTCATATTGTATGGACAGCTCAGAAGCTGATCGGTGTGAATCCATTAACCGTAAAATTGAAATGAATAAGGATTTTGCAAATTAGCTGTAAAAAAATAGCAATGACACTAATAATGCAAAGCATAATTTCATTTATAATTAAACGAAAAGAAAAGAAAGATTAATATTTAATTCTTGTTTTTATTTTTCTAAATGATTTTTTTCTTATTTTGTTTAATCATTTCGTAGTCAATATAAGTGCTGCTATCTATTGTTTATTTTTGAAGAAATCGACTATATTGATACGTCAACAGAGAGATCCTATATAATAAAGATGTGTTTGCACTGCATTGCTCATTTTCATAGAAAAGTGAACTTACATTGGTTGGTTTCTAAACCTCTCGTATATCAAAATTGTAAAGAAGAATAATTTTATGTATGATTATTATAATATGTACGTCCATGTGGTATTTCTTCTATTCTTCTATTATTTCTGCCGAAATATATCGCGAGGGGTAATCTCGCATTGTCGCTAACCATAGACACTTGTGGTATATTTGGCGTGATCGAAGTAAATGAACGAGTATAATATCTATATGCATCATTTTATATAGAAAAACATTGTGTAATAATATCGCATAATGTTCGCTACAGTGATTAAAAAGAAAAGAAATAACAATCAATGCGTTAAGTTTAAATATTAGCTAGCGCACGCCACTTAGGTACGCAAGCGATTCTCCCCAAGTTCTAACATTCGGTAAAATTATAGTAATTTATAGGCAGATGGATTGTATCGTAATTGATACACTCTCTGTTATTATACTAAGTACAATAATTTATTCAAATGACAAGAAAATATTCTACAATGTAGTTTCGTTGATAACGAAGTGGTAATAAATTAGTCAAAAACGAAAGAGGTTGCATTATCTCTTTTTTATATTTTCCCAAAATCGGAATTTCTAGCCCCAGGCTCCCCAACTGTTGTTTAAAGTTCTGATCGCTTGTTCTTCGTACCAGTTCTGTTTCCTTGTATTTTGTTTTTTCGAGCTTATTGAATTTCCTTACACAACCTTTTTATAGATATGAAAATCCTGTATTTTGCAGCTCGATTAACACTCAGACTGCGGGTACCTGGTCGTTTTGGTACGGTGTCACCTAATTAGGCATTTTTCGGCAATTGAATCAAACAAACTGCTGTTACAGATCTACAACAAGTATTTCCAATACTAAGTTCTGATAATTAACGAATAAAACTGGAAATGGTCGCAAACATCGGCAATAGCATTGCTATAAAATGGTGCGTTTTTCAAGGGTTAATGCATAAGCTTTTTGTTGAAATTATGACCCGGTATTTATTACAGCCACAGAAATATTCCAGCAATATTTCGCGAAGCCAATAGAAAAGTGAATGATCGATGGATCGATGAATCGAGCGGGAGTCCGATTTCGTCGCGAAGGAATTACACGAATCGCGCCCACTTCCCGGCGGCAAATCCCTTGGAATAGCCGATTTGATTTGTCCTCGATTAAGTGGCCGGCAATTCTACGTACCCCGGACCGGAAAGTCTCGATAAAGGTAAACGTAAAATCTAACTGTCGGGCTGAACAGTTTTCCCGCGGTCTTCCCAACGGATCCTGCGGCGAACACTTATGCGAACCGTACGGTTGAACATCAAAGCTACGAGAGAGCACTTACACGAGATGAGCTTTTGCGGCCAGGGAAGCTTCGGCGAAAATTGCAAAGATCCCGACACGTCGGAGTACGTTTCCGGAATAACACGGAGAGATACATGTACCATGGAATCCCGGTCGCCTTTATCGCTTTTCATCAAATTAGAGCCGAACGTGACCCATTCCAAGACATATGCCGCGGACTCATTGTTCCCCTGGCGCAACCGATTTACCTATAACTGGTACGTTTATGGGAGTCGCGGGTCTTGTCTGTGTAACACAGCGAACTATTAAGATACTACGGAGAAAACCGGATATTTCGAATACGAAAGCCTAACTAGACAATGCGTGCCAAGGCGTCGCAGGGAACGTTTTCTACTGTTTACGTTCGATTGAATTTTCTGCAGCTGTTAATTGTGTTATTTCGATTTGGATCTTTTGGTCAATCGTTTTGGGGCACGAATATTTGCTTCAAATTGTCATAGTACTTTTAGGAAATGTATTTCCCAAATTTAATTCTTAGGTAGAATGAAGCGTTGCAATGTTTGCTTAATGTATATTGAAATTTTTGTGATATGTTGCAATTCAATTAGACATAAAGGAAGATCGATTGACACTTCAGGCATATTTAAAAG